AGAGACAGATGTGTATCTTATGAATTGTTCTGAACGTTCGGAGGACAAAACTCTGTGCTCCAATTGAAACACCGGTCTTCATTGTGCACTCCGATCAGTGAGGGGGTTGATGCTGTTATGTATACCCCACCCCCTCCAGCCCAGTTGCTGCCGGTCTGTTTGGCACTGATAACTGCATCATGGATTTCTTTCGCAGATATCCCCACCCCTCTGCTGTTAAATCCTCGCTCATTCTCTTTCTCTCCCCTGTTGTCAGCTTTGTTTTACAAACTGAGCGGTGATACCTTCTCAGAGGCCGCCTAACCCCTCCCCTGACACACGCACACACTCCTGGCCAGCTGTCAGACTTGGTGTGTCACGCTGGTGAATATAAAGCTCGTGAAAACAACCTCAGCAGACATCACACAGGATGGTGCTCCTCGTGACCACACCTTGACCTGACACAGGACCCCTCCCCACACACTACCCCCTCAGGTTTGCAGCTGATGCACCTCGACAGGTGTGTGTGTGTGTGTGTGTGTGTGAGCTGACAGCCACTTTGATGCATATTTTATACGAGGCTGCAGTGGAACTAGGACATGAGGGGGGCCATAATACATCCTGGTTAAAAGTGGGCGTGTCCTTCTTCCTGCAGCAAAGAAATTTATGTTTTTACTTATCTTATTTATTTATTTTGACTTGTTTGACCGTTTTCCTTTCCCTTCATCACCTTATCCAGCCTCAGGGCTCAAATAGAGGTATGTCTATTAAACACAAGCAGACAGATGTGCATGCTTTCATTAATAAAAGAAAGGCACACGAACAGCTGTTTGAGGACACTATCCATTTAATGGTATTTATAAACAGCTTTTCAGTCTGGCAATGTTTGATAACCACATAGAAAACATTTGGGCTGCACAACAAAAGAGAGGAGAGGAAACGGATACAAAAATATGTGCATATTGGACGGTTGGAGTGAAGGAACAGCTCAAGAAGAGGAGAGGGGAAAGAGAAGGTGCAGAAGGGGCAGTGCAAGGTGTCTCGGGTGAGTCCGCATAAACAAAAAAATGCAAGAAAAAAACAAATGCAACAAATATAAGAATATTAAAAAAATAAAGTTCCAGCCTCTAGCTCATTCATTTTTCATGAGCCACCACAAACAGCCAGTTTCTCCAGGTTTTCTCTTCACATTTTTTTCCCTTGTTTTTATTACAAAAGTCATTCTCACAGGAAGAAACAGACACAATTTACATCACCGCTTGGGTCACAGCAGCACGAACAAGTTCACCAGTAGGGTTCTCTAATCCTACTTGCCAGGACATTGACACCAGTGACAGTCTTCTGAACGTTCCTGATAGCTAGATAAGAGAGACACAAAACGAGCGGGGCTTCGTATGTGGCCCCCGCCATCGGAGTCCCATACAAACCACTTCTTTTGTAGGCAGTCAGCAAAAACCATACTCAATATTTTTGTGCTTTTTTCCCCCTCAGCCTGTCGTGATTGTTGCAATTTCAGCTTTAGTCATGTTAAAAGTACAAACACACGTTTTATTACCTTGTTATGCTGTGTGAAGTAACAAAGCATTTAGCTTTATTGAGCAGGACAGCTCAGATCTGTTGGAGTAGGATTCTGTGTAAAGGTTATGAAGTGTGAATATCTTACCTGTTGTACATAGCTCTTTCAATGACTCCAGTTTGGAGAAAAAAAGTTTAAATATGACCTGACTGATGAGCTAACGGCTAGTCTAAGCAGGACCAAAGTGGCAGCAACTCCAGTAATGACATAGAGGCTTTCAAGAACACCAATTTATAAACCTTTACACGATAATCATTACACATTAATCTGAACGAGACTGCCCCAGGATGCACCAAAGGTGCTACAGCTAATTGCTAGTTTGCTTTAAAATAACCAACCACAGAATTCTACAACGGAAATAATTCAATACAAACTGATGGTGGTGAGAAAGTAGGGCTGGACGATATGGCCAAAACTTTTATCACGATATATTTCTTGATTTCGATCGATAACGATATAATTCTGATACCGATATAAACAAGGCTTCAGAAAAACTGTACAAATAAATTAATGTTCACCTTTTCTTTGTATTTAGCCTTCAAAGGAATTTGAAATCACCGTCAAATAAACATAAAACTCTCAACTTTGTCAATATTAATAGCTTTAACTTTAAACAACAATATAAACTAACCCATGCAGTAGATGCTTGCTGCATGTGTTTCTCTCTTGATACAGCTGGGGGTGCTGTTTCAGGGACACGTTGGCTCAAACTTTATTATGCATTTTGCAACACACTGAAACCTGCAGTTTATCTGCTCTTAGAAAGCCGAACCACTTCCACACCGCCGAATTAGTCTTTCCACTCTTATCAATTATGTTATCTACTTTCTCTTCACTTGTGAACGCTTGTTCAGTCGCATTCTGACGGTCATGGTCACTCATTTTGAAGTGAAAACTTACCGTACGTTGGAGATTAGACTAGCCTGCTACCGCTAACTCCTTCTGGACTCGAGCTCTGTGTGTGGCGTACGTCACCACATACTTACGTAGCTGTGTCGCGGCTATTTCTGTTCAGGTCGACACGGCCGCCAGTTGAAGAGGCCGCTTCAACACGAACAGAAAAAGAAATGCGTCAGTGAAACGCTGTCATCATATCAAAATATTGAAAATGTGCTTAAAACTCGTATCACCGTTATTGAATAAAAGTATATAGTGATATATATGAATATTGAATTATCGTCCAGCCCTGTGAGAAAGTTAATGAAAGAGTGTTTGCATGAACTGTTATGAAATGATAGAGATGGGAACAGTTTAAGATGGTAGAAATCCATTTTATAATGGATGCCAGTAGCTGTTGTTATTAAACCCAGTTGGACATAAAAGGTACTTGTTTTCAAACTGTGACATCAAACATGAAAAAGAAGTTATCCTGAACTTTACAAATGGCGCAGTTTGAAAGTTTATTCCGAGTATCTCAAGATATCCTGATATGCAATTGTGTAAAAATGTAACTGAATGCACTCAGTGTTTTTAATCTGCACACGTCATTCAACAAATCTGAGTGTAAATATGTACCAGTATTCATGATCCCAACCAGCTCCTTCATACAGGTCAACAATTATCTATTTTCAGCCACTTGGGCTGTTTCCATAAGTAAACTAACACGTGGTATTTGGCAGCCAGTAACAAATTTTGCTTATAAATATTAAATTCAAGGATGAATTAACCATTGAGCCAAAAAAAGCCAATTTATTTTTTCTTTATTTCTTCGACTGGTTTTCAGGGCTGCAGTAAGTACATTTTTTTAGCTTTATTTCTAAACTGAGGGCATTCAAAGAGTACAACGGGTAAGATATTACGTGTTCTGCAGAACGCCACTTCTAATAAACTGAGCTGTCACTTTAAGGTATTCAGAAAACCTGTTTGCATCTGTACATAATTTACTTATTGAAACCGAACATTTAAGACTTTGGGCAAGTTGCACTGAAAAAAAAATGTAACGTCTAATGGCAAAGCCGAGACAGCGTCTCTGCTCCTCGACTCTGGGATTAGAAGACCCTGGACTAAGTGGGGTTAGAGGTTTTGCAGTGGGCTGTGAAGGTGGTTGATCAGGATTTGTCAGGGGGTGAGCATGCTTAAAGTCCTCCAGACCACAAGGAGCACCATGTCCTCTCATTCGCCTTTGTCCTTGTGAATTCAGAAAGAGCTCCGAGCCTCCAAAAGGGTGCGGTGGGATTTTCTCTCCTTAGACCTTAGCAGCAGTAAAATCCAACTCTCCAATCAGACTTGCAAATCATCAAGTTCCTCAGTCTGAGAGTGCACAAAATACATTATAGATGAAAACTGGTAGGAATTTTAGACGTTTAAAGTTCTGTTTTCCTCTGCTGATTCCATTCAAGACCTTTGCAGGAGTTCCTCCGCACTTTAGTTCATGTGACTTTCTTCTCTTTTTTGACTTTTTTTTTGTGGATTGAGTGATCAGTCTGAACGACACAGAGCTTCCACAGCATTACTGAGGAAAGTGCATATTGGTTTCAGTGAGTCAGAAGTTTTGTGAGTCAGACCAAAGCCTCAACTGCTCCTTGGCCCAAAGGTACGAGGCCTCCATTTCCCAGTGAGCTTGAGAAATAGTCCATTGCCTCTAGAGTTTGTTCTTAATGGAGAATGGCTCCCATTAGGCACTCTTGCTGTATAGCTTCATTCTACCTGCATGGCTTTTGTGTATTTTTTTCTTTAGTTTACACCCACAGTCACACAAAAAGATAATGCACATAATACGCTCGCTCATTTACACTGAAGGGAACCAGTTGGCTTTTAGCATGACCGTGTGATGCTGAATGGCTTCTAAGTTGGGATGCGACGTCGAGGACGAATGATAGCTTTCGACAGGACTGGTTTGAAGAATTGATAGTTATGTTGTTTTGCCACAATTTCAGTGGCATTTCTTGGATGCCGAGGATACAGATGTGAGCTAAAACTGCCACAAGATGTGAGAGTAGAGCCAATTAATCAGTAGACAGACAGTGATTACAGCCATTATGGCTACAACTCTGCACAATGACACATTTCACTGCCTCTTGTGTCTGCAGTGCTTTCTTTCTTGATCTTAAGGTGCTAATGAATGACAAAGACAGCTGGAAAGATCTGTATGAGTAGTTAAGAGGGTTAACTGAACATGTAAATGTTTGTGCTGTTGCTATTCTTTAAATGAGTTATTGGCTCAATACTTGATATGTGCACGTAAATAAATTCTATGACCGACACACAAAGAAAAGTTCCCTGTTTTTTCCCTCACTGACATCATGAGATTAATTTTTCGACCTGACTGCCACGTGTCACATGGATCCTTTTAATGGTACCACAGGCATACATACTGTGTTCTAAATGCACAGTCAAGTGCACACGCAGTTATCCATACATGTCTCCTTAAAATGCCAGAAGCAGGAGTTTCAGGAGAATGAATTGTCAAGTTGCACCACAAACACATAAATGTCCACCGTCTGTGTCAGCGAAGAATCACAAAACATAACAGAAGCAGAGCTGAAGAGAAACAGGAAATAAAATCTGCAGAGCGTGACCCTGCCACGTTATTGGCTCTCTGCACCCCAATTGGTGGACCAACAGAAGTCCTGGGGATGCACTTATTTCTTCTTCTTGAATTTCCAGACATGTCATATTTACCTCCATCTGGAGAATAGTCTTTCTCACCTCCCTCCAGAAGAACCTGCACTTCATTGATCCCTCCCTTTGCCTTGCGACCCCGGCGGGTGCAGTTTTTACGGCTCCCCTTAGGTGGCCGTGGCAGGGGTGCGGGTGAAGGCAGGCTATACTGGTCTCCATGTGGCAGGTATGGCCTCTGATGGTGGTTGTGACGATTTCGGTGACGATTCAGGTGGTTTAAAGACTCCCCATGCTCCGTCTCCCCACCTGGCATGTCACGCCCATGCCCCTCACTTGACAAGCAACTGGGTAGCTCCTCTTTCTTTAACAGTTTCATGTCCCTCCCTGCCAGCTCTGGCGGAGAAACGCAGATCAGATCAGAAGTGGAACCTCTGAACCTTCGCAGCCAATCCCAGAGAGACAGAGCCTTGCAGTCGCACTCCCATGGGTTGTCGTTCAGGCGCAGGTACTCCAGAGCTGGCAGCAGAGTCATGGTGGCACCAGACAGCTCAGTGAGGGAGTTATTAAACAAGAAGAGGGTGGTGAGGCGCCGCAGGTCGTGGAAAGCCTGGCGATCAACCCACTGGATTCGGTTCTGATGCAGAAGGAGCCGGTCCAAGATCCCCAGGCCTCGGAAAGTGTTCTGGCGAAGACTCCACAGTTGATTTCCATGCAGGAAGAGATGGCTGAGGTTCAGCAGGTCGATGAACAGATCATCTTCTAAGAACTCCAACTTGTTGTCCTGCAAAGATAAAAGAAAATATAAAAGAGAGAAGCTTCAAATGAGTGGTGGCACATTTATTATTTTTATAGATAGTCTTCAGTTAACTTCCTCCGTTTATCGTGGGGGATCTGTACCCTGAAGCCCCGCGATAAGTGAAAAACCACAAAGTAGGAATAGTAGTACAAGTAGTAAGTAGTAGTTTATTTTATATATATATATATATATATGAATAAAGGCATTTTTAACCCTTCCCACACTCATGCAATATTCTAAACATTTCTAAACTCTAAACATACTAAAAGAGCATAGAATGTCATGATTTCAGTTCCCTGCCTCCTCTGCTCTCAGCCACCTGCAAGCGCTCTTGGCCACGTCCACTTCACTGCTCTGTATGGAAAACAGCTGATCAGCTGCAGCAGGAAGCTTATCCTGCAGTATGATGATATGCTAAATAATTTAAAATAACCTATTTTAAATTAAAATTCCATGCCGATCATGTGGCTCATCCATCAGTCATTCAACAGTGTGTCATGTCCGCCTTTATTTTGAAAAAACGCGATAGAGCGAGTCCACGATAAACGAACCGCGAAGTAGCGAGAGACTACTGTATTTGATTTTAAACTGTACATTTTGTGTATAAACATGTTTACAACAATATCCTGAATGCTTTGCTTGATAATTAGCATTTGCTTCCATTTTACACTTCATAAAACAATATTATTAAATAAATAATACACCTAAACAAAGATATTAGGCACACTGTATTCTCATTGAATGCCAGTGAGTGGGTTTGGTTTGTGAAATGTTATTGTGTTTTATACAATTTTGATTTTTAAAATGTTTATGTGCTGAGTGTAAGGATGGTACCATTTACTGTTTCTGTTTGTGTCTGTGTTTCCCTAGTGTTTCCTCGTCAGTTTAATTGGTGCCACCTTTGTCTCGTCACAGCTGTTGTAATCACGTCTTGTCTTGTCCTTGTATAAAAGCTGTCTGTTCTGTGTTGTTGCTCGTCGGGTCGTATTCGTTGGGTC